GACATAGTGGAACACGTAACTCGAATGAAATGGAGATAGGCAGGTCATGTGGCGAGAACATCTAAAGACAGGTGGACTAGAAGATTGTTAGAATGGCGACCTCGAGCAGATAAACGTAGCAGAAGCAGACCACCGACACGCTGGACCGATGATGTAAAGAGGATTGCTGGAAATTGGATGATGACGGCCCAAAATCGAGAGACATGGAGAAATATGGAGGAGGCCTACGTTCAGCAGTGGACAACGATGGCTACATGATGATGATGATGAGAGACATTGGTTCGAAACGTCGAGTGTATCATCCTGTGGCCCGTCCCCAATTATGCGAAAATCGACCCACATTTTTCTTCAATATCAAATCCCTAGTCCCAGCCCGATGAAGATGTCAACGAAACATCGTTTCCAACTTTACAAATGTTTTTCCCCAAGACGACAACCATTCGTGCTATAAACTTTGGTACGACTGATATCGGAGATGGGGAACTAACCTCTATAAAACCGTCTCAGATACTGGATTTTGTCAATTAATATATTCAAGAAGTTGATTATCCCCTAAGTACTTTTAAAGATGTAATAGAGAGCCTCCAATGTAAGACTCATTCTTCAAGTTAAAGAATAAAAAAGGTTAAAATACTTTTATCCTCCGACAAACCTCGGTACATTTTACAGCATGATCTTGCACTTTTCCATACTTTGCCGGGATAACAAAGCACTCCAGATTCTTTAGAACATTTATTTGCTCTCGCTCGATAGTTTTCTAATACTTTCCCGATTACAGATTTTCCTCCATCGGCGAAGGAAATTCTTTAAATGCATTTTTAAATCTTTCGAGTACGTTCGTAAAACTTTATTCCACTCATTTTTAACTATTTTTAAGTAGTTAAAAATTAGGTGATATTTGTTAAGCACTAAAAAGCAATAATTATTATTGTCACTCAGATGCAGAAAAATGCAACGGAGAAATTTTTGGTCAAATTTAATGTGTTATATTTTTGTTATTTTTAACCCTATTTTTATGAATTTTTTAGCAAGCTGTATATAATTACATGAACTTTAATTCGCAAACTCAGTTTTTTATAAACTTTAGTGTTTGTCATATTATACAGGGTTAATCGAGGGGTTGTTTTTTACCCTAATTTTAAAATACCCTGTGCAATAATTTTGTTTGTAAATTTTCCTAAAATATAATTTTACGATCAGAACCATGACTCTTGAGCATTTTATTTTTTGGATCATGTCAATACATGCCTTAGTAAAATTTTAAGAGCGAAATGAACTTGCTCTCAACAGGTTGCAATTTTTTCAATTATCATTTCTTTTTGAAGTTATTTTTCAATATGACAAGACAACTTTGGTAATTATTGTGAACTATATACTATTATGAACTGCCCTCACATCATGTTCGATATTTGGGAAATGCTTGGCAGGAGGGTTAGAGGTCGCGAAGCTGTACCAGCTTCATTAAATGAACTTCGCTTGGGCCTTAAAGAAAAATAGGAAAACATAACGCAATTTGATATACAGGGTGGCCCATCGAAAACGTTCCGCAAGGCATAACGGCCAGGATATTTTTTTTCAAAAAATCCAAAAACACGTCAATTTTTGCCCCAAAAATGATTGCAAAACCTTCAACCCTCTAAGCGGGGTGTCATCCCCCAACTTTTTTCAAATGGGAAGGGGGGTCAGATGGTAGCGCAATGAAAAGGGCTTTTTATTCTCTATACTTTCCCGCTTCGTTTTTGAAAATCGGTCGAGTCATTGAGAAAATATGAAGGATTGAAATTTGAAAAGTTTATTTAAACATTTACCAGAGTAAATGATAAGGATAAATTCCTTCGACCAATTTGCTGTTTTTTCTTATTATTTCTAGATGTTTTCGCATTTTTTCACTTGCCACAAGGTTGAACGATCAGGTGCGGCAGTTGCTAGATAGCTGTTCTGTGACCTGTGCGTCGAAGTTCTTCTCAATATCGTTAAACTTTATAACAATTATGGTGTACTCACTTGCAGAAAAAGTGGAAATAATCGAACTTTATTTTAAAAATAATGAATGTAGCAATCGGGTTCCGCAGATATTCAATGAATGCCATCCTGAAAAACACCTTTATGGCAAAATTGTTCGCGAGTTAGTAGCAAAATTTCGCGAAACTGGTTCCGTTATGAATAAAAAGAGGCAGAGGGAAAACCCTGTAGTAAATGAAGCTATGAGGTATTCGTATTGGGCCAGGTTACTATGGATAGTACGCTGAGTACAAGAAAATTAGCCAATGCAAAATTAGCCGGCGTGAATCGTACCAGTGTCCAAAGGATATTAAAAAAACACAAGTTCCACCCGTACAAAATTCAGTTGGTACAAGAACTCAACGAAGACGATTTTGATCGTCGCTTGCAATTTTGTGAAACTGTGAATGAACGAGTGGCGAATGATAATAATTTCCTATTTAATGTGTGTTTGGTTTGGTTTGGTTTGGCATAACTGTCGGTACTGTGCTGAGGGGTTTTTCACGAGGTGCATACACAAAACCCTCAGAAATTGAACGTGTAGGATGGTATTTTTGGAAATTCTATTTTAGGTCAGTTTAACGATATTGAGAAGAACTTCAGCGCACAAGTCACAGAACAGCTATCTAGCAACTATCGTTCGCACCTGATCGTTCAACCTTGTGGCAACTGAAAAAATGCGTAAACATCTAGAAATAATAAGAAAAAACAGCAAATTGGTCGAAGGAATTTATCCTTATCATTTACTCTGTTTAAATAAACTTTTCAAATTTCAATCTTTCATATTTTCTCAATGACTCGACCGATTTTCAAAAGCGAAGCGGGGAAATATAGAGAATAGCAGCTCTTTTCATTGCGGTACCACTTGACCCCCCTTCCCATTTGAAAAAAGTTGGGGGATGATACCCCCGCTTAGAGGGTTGAAGATTTTGCAATCATTTTAGGGGCAAAAGTTGTCCCCCTCACAAACAAAATTGACGTGTTTTTGGATTTTTTGAAAAAAAAAATTTCCTGGCCGTTATGCCTTGCGGAACGTTTTCGATGGGTTACCCTGTAAGCAGCCTCAATGACAGTATCAGGGCCAGTCAACTGAGATATACGACCTTGAACGATCTGTTTTTGGGGTAGTAATTTCCTGGGGCGCTAGATTTTTATTTTAATTTTTCTAGTTGCCTAACAATTGCGTACAAAATTGTTTTTATAATTGCCTAAATAGGCCTATTAATTATGTTCTGTCATTGTTCTGTATGTCAAATCAGTTTTCCGTTTCCAGCTTCCTCCTTCCTCCTTCCTCTTCAGTTGTGTTTTGCAATAGAACGGAGATGTGCGTTTCGCTGTTTTCTGGTTGTTTGGCTGTGTTTTTTGCAATCTTCATTTTAAAATCGTGATTTTGTATTTTTGAATTTTTTTGAACTTTGTTTTGTGTTTGATTTTTAAGATCTCTATTAAAGGTAAGGTTTAAGTTAAAGGTCTTTGATTTATTTAACAATTTTATTTAATAATCCTGAGAAAGTGAGGTGAGGTAACTTCCAACCAAGTCCAAATATTCGTGAATTTTATTTTTTAACAATGTAATATTTACAACGCCATATATTTTTACAAAAAAAAAATGATCAACTCCATATTTTTGTACATAAACTCCACAATGTGATATTACACAATTGTTCAAGTCCATATGTAAAAAATACACGTAAATAAAACATTGTTTCTAATGGACGTCACTTTCTTGTATTCCAACGATATTTGTTATGTGTTCTTAAATCTGGTACTATAATAAATATTATACTTTTTAATCTGTTGTTTTATTTGTTTGTAAAATGTTTTATGGTATAATTTTCTGTAAATTAAAATAAATTATTGTAGGTTTTTATGCACATAAAATGATATAAGCAAACCATAATAACACTTTACAATAGTTTAACCTGGTTTAACCTTTATATATAAATCCTTGTTTTTTACCATTTGACTTGTTTGCCAACTTGGGACCAATCAGATGACTACACATTATTTTGTAGAAATCTGATTGGCTCTAACTGGCGAACAAGTCAATACGTCTTGCTTAAAAATAAATTGGATCTATTTAAATTTGCCGCCACATTTGTTACTTTCCTGGGTGGCTAGATGGCGCCACTTCAATATACAGATTACAGATTTCTTTACAAATTTGAAACCGTTTTCAAACTAAAAAATGCATGGGAGTTAGCGTTCTTCTTTAGTGTGTTCTGTGGACAGTATGACCGGACGTATAGAGGCAGTTATAGCGGCCAAAGGAGGCACTACGAAGTATTAGGGTATTTTTTACAATTTCTTTTTCTGTTTGTATATTTGAATATTACAGATGTTTTCTCTAATATCGTTAGTTAGTTCTGTTATCGTTATTAATGTTTATTAAAACCAGGACTGTATTGTTAGTCTTTAACGTTTTTCTTTTAATTTAATATAGAGTATTCAATGGAGCGTAATATGACGTTACGACAATAGTCACCAAAACCATCTCGTCATATCAAAAAAATACATAAAAAATAATGATAATTGACAAAATTGCAAATCGATCATGATCAGATCATTTCGCTCTTAAAAATTAACCAAAGCGTATATTGACATGAATCAAAAAACAAAATGCTCAGGAGTCATGGTTCTGACCGTAAAATTATATTTTAGGAACATTTACACACGAAATTATTGCACAGGGTGTTTTAAAGTTATGGTATAAAAACAACCCCTCGATTAACCCTGTATAATATGCCAAATACTAAAGTTTCTAAAAAACTGAGTTTACGAATTGAAATTGATATAATTATATACAGCTTACTAAGAAATTCATGAAAATAGGGCTAGAATAACGCGCGCGCGTTGCGTTTTTTGCATCTGGGTGTAAATTATACGAAATGTCTCAAATGAAAATTTCAAAATGAGTCGAATAAAAATTCTAGATTCTTATTTGAACCAAATCAAAACCAACTAGCATCACTAACCACTTTCTTTTCTTTCTTTTGCAGGTCTGGAAGGTAGCGAAAGCACCTCCCTCCAAAGGAACAACACCTTCACCACGTACATAACCCTAAACAGGAAAAACCGACTGTCCACCTACCAGACACCGTCACGGTCAGCGTCGCTGATGAAGAACGTCAACAACGTCAACGGTGCAGGTGCTGGCTACGTCAGACGCAAGAGATCATCTAAGGAAATGGCTGACGAGCCAATATAATCGACCCAATGAGCTGGATCATTTTAGGTTATGGTTGATTTCGACAAGGGAGGACTCAGGTCAGGGAGACCTAGCCAAAGAAGAAGGATACTTTGGCTATGATGGATGATATGAGAGAAAATGACGCGTGATCATATACAGGAAATTTGTAAATTCTATTGGTTATATAATAGCATATCTATGAATGTACAGGGCGGGTCAAATTCGACGCTTTAAAATGGAAACACCCTTTTCTATAGGAGATAGACAAAAACTAATATCGGTGTCTGGAGCTCAATTTTTGTCAAAAACATGATGGTGAAAACCGCATATCGATATCTGTTACCGTTTCGGAGTTACGGGGTGTTTTTCAAAAATATGCATTTTTAACAAATCGCTGTGTAATTCCTTTGCTATAGAAAATTTTGTATTTTTATGAAAACATTTCCAAAGCATCTTTTTACGTAGAATTTAATGGTTTAAGTATATTTTTTTTTAAATAAATAATTTAAGAATTATCAACAGAAAATTCGATTTTTTATATGGGACACCCTTTATATTTTTAATTTATTGAAAAGAATTTAAAATTACCTTTCCAAAAATATAACACACTTGATATTTTGCTCGATTCCTCTTCGAGATATAGAGTATATAAAAATTCGCCCACTTTAAATAAGTAGGCTTTGAACGGCACCGGCTGTAATGCCCTTAAAAATTCTAGCTGTGAGCCTCAATTAAGACGAAAATAATATTTGCTAGTGAGAGATGCAGAATTTTATAACAATTTAAAAATATATTTAACCAACATCAACACATTTAAACTATATCTAATAACAATAAAAATAAATAGCAAACCAAGACATGACATTTTGCTACAGGTGTTCGATTATATCGACCGTCTTCTGTTGCGGACAGACGGGTCAGTTTTGAAGATTTCGCGGAATTCATTAACTCAGTGGGGGCAGAAAGATACCCTCTCATAACTGCTAAATATTTCTAGTTATTGTTTAGATTATATGGAAGAATAAGAAACCTTTATTCTTCCGCAAATATATCCATAGGATTAGACCCATGGGCATCTAAGTCAGGCGGCCTCAACGGCCAACGGCTGGAATCTTTGGTTAGCTATTCAATTATTCTTGAAATTGGCTGCAAAAATTTGCTGATAACTTCAGCGTTCAGAGACGGTGCTGCGTCTTGCTGGAGAAAATATGTTTTCGAGTTCCATTATGGGCATATCATCAATAAGGGGTCCAAAGCCTACTAGTTAAAAGTGGCGAACTTTTTAAAAATTCTGTATTTCGAAGAGGATTATAACAAAATATCAAGTGTGCTATATTTTCGAAAGGTAATTTTAAATTCTTTTTTCAGTTAATTAAAATATAGAGGGTGTCCAAAATAAAAAAATCAATTTTTCTGTTGATAACTCTTCAATTATTAATTTTAAAAAAATTATACTTAAACCATTAAATTTACGTAAAAAGGTGCTTTGGAAATGTTTACATAGAAATACAAAATTTTCCATAGCAAAAAAGTTACAGCGATTTATTAAAAATGCACATTTTTGAAAAACACCCCGTAACTCCGAAACGGTAACAGATATTGATGTGCGGTTTTCACCATCATGTTTTTGATGAAAATTGAGCTCCAGACACCGATATTAGTTTTCGTCTATCTCCTATAGAAAAGGGTGTTTCCATTTAAAAGCGTCGAATTTGACCCACCCTGTACAAACATCAGTGGATGGTGTTCAAATAAAAATAAAGGAGTTCAATAAGTATGCTATTCTATGCCAACTAAGTATATGTTTTTTGTCTATACGGTACCTTCACCTTCTAGATATCAGATTTGTAAACAATATCATTAACTGTCAGATGTTACATATATGTATTTGAGCTACTCCAATTCTAGTACAGGGTGTTTTATAAAGCGGATCAGTCATTCCATTTTATATTTTAAATTGTGTGTGCTGTCAAGTATAGCAATGATACGTCATACATCAATACACTTAAATTCTAATAAAAATCTAGAAAAAAAATTCTAATTCAAATTCAAATTCATATATTAGTATTTTAATAAAGCACGCTTTTAGATGTTTCAAAAAACTTTTAATAAGAGTAACTTTAACTCAACATATATGTTTCGGCTTGTTAGGCCTTTTTCAAGAGTTTTTTAAGAACTAATCGTCTAACTACACTGTAACTATATATATATATTTACTTCATGGGGGCACCCCTCAGACTTTTTACAATAGGGGTAATATAAAAATGTGTTTAGAAATCCTTGTTGGTCGTTAACATTATTTTCGTTTTTAACAGATTTTAGTATTTCTAACTGTTCAATGTAATTTAAGCGTCTACCTTTTGTTTCTCTGTGTAGTAACTTAAAAAAGAGTTAAATATTATTAAACAAATCGCCATCAACAATGGATATAAGTGTTCCCTTATTGATAATATGCTAAAGAAAAAACAAAAGAAAATATTGATGAAAAATTTTTATTCCGCTAATTCTAAAGACAATAACAATTATCGACTTTTAAACTACATTCCTAATTTAACTAACAAAATATCAAATAATCTCAATAAAATAGGATGTAAAACTATTAACATAAATAAAAGAAATTTAGGTCAAATTTTATTAAATAATAAAGACAAAACTAATGTCAAAAATAAGTCGGGTGTATATAGGGTGGATTGCAATGATTGTGATGCCGTGTACATAGGCCAAACAGGTAGAAATTTAGATATAAGGATTAAAGAACATGTAAAGTCTATTAATAATCTCCAGCATAGTTCTGGTCTTGCAACTCATTGTTAGTAAATAATCACAAAATTAATGAAAACTCATTTAAGTTACTACACAGAGAAACAAAAGGTAGACGCTTAAATTACATTGAACAGTTAGAAATACTAAAATCTGTTAAAAACGAAAATAATGTTAACGACCAACAAGGATTTCTAAACACATTTTTATTACCCCTATTGTAAACTCTCTGAACCCACCCCCATAGCAAATATATATATAGTTACAGTGTAGTTAGACGATTAGTTCTTAAAAACTCTTGAAAAGGCCTAACAAGCCGAAACATATATGTTGAGTTAAAGTTACTCTTATTAAAAGTTTTTTGAAACATCTAAAAGCGTGCTTTATTAAAATACTAATATTTCAACGATGTTTCACAAGGAACCAACCACAGCTTCAGTACAATTTATCAAATTCATATAGTTTATTGGTGCTAAATATCAAATACATACACAAGTCAATAAGTGTTACACAAAATTTTCATTAATTATTCACTTAAAAAAAACGAAATACGAAAGTAAAATTATTAAAGATATTGCGAAGTTCAAAAAAAAACACTAAAATATACAAACACAGTAATTAAAAGACAATTTAAAATCAAACATTAACAAGCTTTGAAATTCAAATTTTTTACATAATGCTGCTAATATCACATTCTAGAAACTCACTAAGAGAATAAAACGCCCGATCAACAAAGAATGTCTTCAGAACAGGCAATCTCTAATAGAATGTGGAAATTTATTAAAAAAATGTATTCCTAGGTACCCAGGGCCGTCCTGACATCTTTTTAAACGCCAACTTTTTAAGTTTTTAAAAATCATTTTTGTTAGGTGTAGCATAAGTATGGACCGATTGAGAAAATACTATTAGCAATAATCACAATCACCCAGTTCGAAAAATTTGGTAATTTTTTTCACTTTTGTACGTTTGTGAGTTATAGGTTATTCTCCCCTGTACATTGGTGGGTCTGAAAAGCGACGCACCCCTATAACTGTTTTATTTTTTCAGATAAATAAAGAAGATTTGGTACATTAGTATATGACATAAGTCAGTATTGATTGACGTATTCAATTGTTTTCGGTTACTACCTGTTTCACCGGAAATGGCTATAATTTTTGATTTTTAAGTCGGTATTTTTTTACTTTATTCGATAGAAAATGACTCTCTGAATAGAATGGCATCATATACAGGGTGTTTCAAAACAAATGCGAAAAACTTTAGGGGGTGATTCCTTGTTCAAAATAAGGGGTAGTTTGCATGATAAACGTTGGGTCAAAAGTCAACCATTAGGGAGATATCGCGGTACAAAGATGGCGGAAAAATAATGTTTTTATTATTTATCTTGAAAACGAAAAGAGATAGACTAATGAAATTTTATGGAGGCATTACTGTTATGAAAACACACTTTCAGGTAATTTTTTTACTTTTTAAAATGAGTGGAAGGCGGGGTGAAATAAAACTACCCTATCATCTCTTGTTAACGAAATTTAAAGAAAAATCTTATCAAACACATGCAAATGCTTTAATTTGGATAGTTTAGTTTGTTTAGAAACTTTTACCTCTTGTGTTTTTTTTGATAAAGCTCACCGATTGGAAATTAAAAAAATAAAATGTAAAGCATTACATGTCAGGACAAAAAACATTTTTAGATTAAGAATCTAGTGATAATAACGATAATAATAATCATCTAGATAATAACGTATTGCAGTAGAGTAATGTCAAATAAAATAATTTTAGGAACCTCCTAAAGTAACAGCGGCCGACTAGATTTTTCCTAAAAAAAATACAGCAGCCCACTAGATTCTTTATCAGAAAATGTTTTTTGTCCTGACATGTGATGCTTTACATTTTATTTTTTAATTTCAAATCGGTGAGTTTTATCAAAAAAATACAAGAGATAAAAAAGTTTCTAAACAAACTAAACTATCCAAATTAATTTTTCTTTAAATTTCGTTAACATGAATGATAGGGGTAGTTTATTTCAACCCCTTCCACTCATTTTAAAAACGTGAAAAAATTACCAGAAAGTGTGTTTTTATAACAATAATGCTTCCATAAAATTTTATTAGTCTATCTCTTTTCGTTTTCAAGATAAAAAATAAAAACATTATTTTTCCGCCATCTTTGTACCGCAATATCTCCCTAATGGTTGACTTTTGACGCAACGTTTATGAAGCAATCTACCCTTTATTTTGAACAAGGAATCACCCCCTGAAGTTTTTCGCATTTGTTTTGAAACACCCTGTATATCAACTTTTGACATTCTCGCTTAAAAAAATCGCATTTTAAATTTTAATCTAGAGTACCATGGCTGTGTTAAAAACACTAATTTATAATGAAGAAGTCTTGAAAAAATAGATTTGGTCATAATCATATAAAAATAGATTTGGTGTAAATCATAGTTTTAACCATAACTCAATTTTTTCA